AAAAAAAAAAAAAAAAAAAAAAAAAAAAAAACGAAAGAAAAATAAAGAAACTTAATTGGAAAAGTTTCCATTTCCATCTTTCAGTGCTTGCATCAGAGCAGCTAAAAATGCATTCAATCCAATCCTTCATTATTCTCAATCGTTTTAAATTAAATATAATTTCGGTATTATTTGCAAATTTATGTAACTATGATAGCATGAAACATACTTTTAGTAGATTTACTTATTTAAAGCTAACAAAAATATCCACATATTCTCAAACTTTTACCGAAGCACGTTCTACTATTGATTTTATCTTGATATACGACGATACCTGTTTGGTTTGGTGTTCTACGACAAATCCAAATGATTATTGTTCGACTCTCAATAAAAGCCATACGTTTAACTATATGTGCAGAGACACACATGTGTACAGCATACAGCAATACTCTCGAAACGAATTTAGCCCGCGCACAATTTTCTGCTCATTGAAGTTATACCTTCGCTTTTCTTCTTCTTTCTTTTTATGTTATGTATACAGTTAGTATTGTTTTGTTACACAGTAAATTAGCAATTTTTCAGGTTACACATTTGGGCTAATGTTCAATTCGGTGAATATACGGCATCTTCGCATTACAGATGTGATGATAAAGCGCAAACTTTCAAGATCCAATCTCCAAAAGTATACATAATGCGTTTAACTATTTGTGACATTTAAAAATTCTTCTTCCAAGCAATTTAAAAAAAATATTTCCAATATTTATGTGCTGTTTACCGGCTTGTACTATTACTATTTTCCTATAAATGTAGTCATATCATGCGATTAAAATGACCAGAGATACTCTTTTAGGTGTTAAGCGATTCCTTATATATATATATATATATATATTTTTTTTTTTTGTAGTAACCGAATATCAAATTTGTAGGAATGTAATAAGTAATGAGCAGAAGTACTTGAGAGAAAGGCCCATCTTGCATTATGTTAATCCATTGATTCATAATTGATTTTCTGAAACCCTTTTAAGCTTGTCCTACCTTTCTTCTACTAGGTTTCTGGGCATTCATTACTCATTCAGTACTCAAAGTGCCGGATGCAATTTTCGAAATATTGTGACAGGCCGAGCTATTTTGGAAACACGAAGTACGAAGGACAAAGACTATTTTGAAAGTGCATAGAATCGGACCATATTTACGACCAAAACCCACAAATAATTTTTTGCTATATTATGTAAACATTCTTAGAAGAGGAAAGAGTTTACAAGATTTAATTTCATCATTTTATATGGAAAATCGGTCCGCCATACAACATCGGTCCCACGAAAAACGTTGTCATAGAAAAGTAAGACTTTATATGGCAACAAATCTTGATCTTCAGTTATGAATTGTATTAGGCAAAGTAGGGTAGGATGCTTAACAATCGACCTTACCTGACTGTGTTTTTACTCTATACTCTTTATGAATATAGAAATAGAAAAGAATTACAAACTTAGATGCGTATTAATTGCTTTCGCATAAAAATTATTGGTTACTATTAGATGCTTGCGTAAATTCTTACCATCTTTATACACATCACCGAACGATGAGGGCTATATATATTTTGTCAAAACATTCGCAACGCTCAGAAGGAAGCATCAGAGGCCCCATTAAATATATATAGTTGTGGTCAGCATCAATTTATAAACCGATTTACGCATATTAATCTATCCGTCTGTCTGTCTGTCTGTCTGTCTGTCTGTCAGTATAGTGTCTGTTGTGAACATTCCATTGGCAGCAAATATGAAACTATCGACTTGAAATTTGCAGAAACATTGGAAGTTCATGCTCGTAGGTTGGTATTGAAAATGGACTATATTGGTAGAACGATACGTAGTACGAAAGTACTACGTAAAGTGAGAACATCTGCATTGCAGTTATCAGACAAATCTTATAGAGTCTTTCTAAACGAACATGGAACCTTATTTCGCGACGACTAGGAAAATATTGAAAAGAATAATGTTTATAGAAATTACTTACCAAAAATAATCCAATCATTTTATTTATATTGTTTTTTTTTTTTTTTCGACTTCTTAACGTCAGGCAATGCTGACTATTAATTACCCCACGCAGCTTTGCCTGCTACAATTTTTCATTTATTTTCGTGTTAACTCGATAGAAAATATACCTCGCGTCCATGAAATCGCTTACCTTGTATGAGAACTCTGATAGGTTGTGATGTCGAAAAGTGCGGATAGCAATGTGTTCCAAATCTGATGCAGTTCATTTTATATGTTAAATTATTAACTAAAATCAATTTTCAACAAATTTTTTTTTTTTGAGCTTCATACACACGCTCACCTTGATGAGGACGCTTACACCGAGTGCGATACACAAAATAGACACACACATGATCGAAATTTGGTTTACAGGTGATTTTTATGTGAAACTTGTATTATGAATCGGTTTTCATTTATTTTCACTTTCTGTAGGAGCGATTAAATGAAGATATATGATTTAAAAAAGCCTCAAAACCTATCCGATTGAAATTGTCCAGTTTTTTGAATGCGCAAAAACTACTCTTCACCATACTTCTGTCGGGAAAGGTTAGAGGTTGTAATTGCTAAAAAATGGCCCGATCCAATCTATTTGCAGTTAAAAGAAAATATCCTACTGTACCAAATTTCATCCAAAAAATGGAGAACCTATAGATCGCAGAATACATGGACAGACAAGTTTAAGTCGATTCCGAAAATGATTTTGAATCAATCTATCAATACTATAATGAAAAGTATGCCTATCTTAAATCCATCTTAATATACCCTCTAACACAGCTGGGATAAGTTATAAGTGCGCACGTTTCAAATGTCAATGGGAAAATTTTTTTTTTTTTTTTTTTTTTTTGTTAGATTTGCACAACAATCATTAACATCTGACACAAGTTTCGTATTACTCAGATTGTTAGTTTACACATTTTTGGGCGTCTTTTGTAATTCTGAGAAATTGTATATCGAACAAATAATTTAGAATAAATTTTGTTTAAAATAATTATATAAAATGTTGAAAATGTTAAAAAAAAGCAATCCGTTTAAAATTGAAAATCAACTTAATATCGATTGTTTTCTTCGATTGTCATCATATTCTTTATGATGAGTTTTTTTTTTTCAAGAGAAAAACTAGTTGGTAAACGATAACAATAACAAATTGGACGTTGTGTACGTTGTGAACGTATTCGAAAAAAAAGTGTATCTTAATTGCAAAAAAAAATTTCATGATTTTTTCATTAAGATGAAGAACTTTCGCGTTAAACTGTTCGCCATAAAACTGTTCGCGAAATTTTTAAATGAAAATCAAAGTAATGCTCCTTCATACAAGCATCGTATTCATCGTATGCTCCGTCATGTTTAATCACTTTTTCTTAAAACAAACCAAACATTAAAGGGAATTCGCTGACTGATTGCTTCGAAGAACTGTTACACCATTAGATACTCAACATTATAAACTCAAAAGTGTAATTTACATCCGGCTCGTATCACTTATTATTAATGACAGTCGCATCAATTTAATAAAAAAAAAAACCGAATGTTTGTTACATTGGTATTGTTAAAGGAAAAATTTCCCATATTTTTTGAACACAAGGTCGTACCGAAATAATTGCAAGCATTTAAGTGAAAAATGTGTGTGTCGTAAACGTAATTTTAATATAACGTAAGTTCTGGTCATTCAACTGAGAACTTTACCAATGTAAACAAGGGTTCAAGCTAATAATCATGATTACAGAAACATAAATAAATATGTTTATGTGCTTGATTGGCTTTTTATCTACCCATCCTTACATATATATGACTATGTTTATGTTCTTGTTTACGTTGCTTGACAACTACAACAACAAATGGAGTTGTCTGCATGGCATGCCTAAAAGCAAAGAGCAACATTCGTATTTGTGTGCATATAAAGCATAAATACGCATACGGAACACACACACACATATATATATATATATATGTGGTATATAGGAACGGCGCTTGATTTCAAATTGTGTTCATTTAAGTATTATTTTCCATAATATTAGACGATATGTGTTCAGGCTTACGGCTAAAACTAATCAGACATAACACATGTTTCTTCTTTTTTTTTTTTAGTGTTTCTTCATATCAAGCTAAACGATCCAATGCTTGTCCAGCATTTCGTTACCTTTTCTATAGAAAAATTTATCGAAACTTCCAAAATACATTTCAACTTTCCCAGTGATGTTACGCAAACTTTTTCCTTCAACCTTTCATCCTTTTGCAAACTGATAGGTAGTCGCAGGAAATTAGATCCAGTCTACACGGAAGGTGAACGAACAATTCGAATTGCGATTCGCGCGATTTCCCTTCCTTTTTTTTTTTTTTTAATTTCTTCTGCGTCATTCAAATCTATGTTCGCTATTTATCGCTTACCTCTCTCCAAGGCAGTCTCCGTATGTTTTGGCTGATCTGCATGGCTTTCAACAGATCCTTTCCACTCAATGGGGAAGTTTTATGCAAAATAGTGAATACACTCTTGATTTTGATATTTTTAGAAAGCCGGCTATCTACTGTACAACTTCACATTTTCTTTATCGAGAATAATTTTCCGGATTTGTTGTATGTA